AATGCGGTGTTCAGAAAAAGTCCCACTAAACACTGTAGGTCCCTGGACATATAATATAATGACCTCGACTAATATAAGACATTTGCACCGGCTAATAAATCATTGAGCTGAAAGCAAGTCGATAGATGATCCTTTGATCCACACTATGAAGTCAAGGAGGAACAAGTGAATCCAGCTTCGTAATGTACAGAATTGAAAGCATTGAAGTATCCTTTAACGTTGGCTGATGAACTACGGACACCTATTTCCGAAATGCCGAGTGGGTGAGCTACTGGATGTGAAAGGTTGCCTACCTAACTGTTTGTTTTTAAAGGACCATGAGGTGGAAATCTTCGTGTATTATATTGGGAATCAGAATCTGAAGAGCTTTTGCTGGGCCATAAACAGGATATAATGTGCACCTTATTCAAAGGAGGCCGACAGAAAGAATTAATAAGTTCGATCAGCCTTCTTCCTACTACCACCTATGTTCTGAATTGTCAAATGACGAATCAAGTAGACACGTACGTGTTAAATTACCCCACATTGTGGATTTCGGATGGGATGAAGAGGCAGTAATGTGAATTTCGGAGTACACGAACACAAGGGAGTCCTCAGGCTATTTGCTTACATCTTAAAATCCGTCGGTGAGTAAATAAGCATGATGAATCGTTTTTTACAATCCGGATTAATCCATTTAACATAAATCTTGTTTCATCCCATGGTTCCACATTGAAAGCCCATGTTCTTGAGCAGTAATCCATCCGATTTTCACAGTATTAAAAAGAGGTTTAGGTACTGTTTTGTCATGGAATAACCTTCATATAGGCTCTTGTCCATTTAACTTCTGTATAAAGGCTTTGTGTGATTATTCACTATCAACCGGATACTCTTGGATCCAAATTACGACGCTTCATAGCAAAAGGTATGTTACATGACCTGAATATACTTATGCTGCATTTCGCAGATGATCGTGTTCTGTTTGCACATTGTAAAACAAAACCAGCATGGATTCGAATGCCGATCATGCTTCGTCAGTTTTGCGTAGGATTCACAGGCTCATACACAACAGGATATGCGGCTCCATTGTGCTATCTCAGTCTTCTTTGTCCCTATCGATTTGGACACATGTTTAAAATCAGTAGATGACATATTTAAATGGCAAGTTGGATAATTTTAATGGCTATTTCACCACCTTCCCATTTTGAAAGTTAAAATTTCCCTCGGAAATATTTAACGTGGAATTCGGTTTTACGGCATACGTCCCAGTAATATAAACGACCGACGAAGACAAACTTACAACCACCTACACGCTATATACACTATACACTATATACTGATGTGCATAGGTGTGGTACGAGACGAATGATTTCTTTGCTGTCTTCAAATGAATACTATTTTTCACCAAACTAGCTCGATATGTTTATTAGTAGAGACAACCTCACCTGCATAGTGCTAAAAGTGTGTTGATCATGCCGATTAACGAAAATTTCTAGTGAATATTCAGAATAACTGAGATGCTGGGTTAACAAAATATAATTTATTTGTTGGGTTACGCGCATTGACTGCACTAGCTGAGTTAACATATAACTCAGTGGACCTGACGTCTGACTAACCCACAGTTTCTCAGTTCGACACTTTCCACCATTCTTCAGCTTGGTGTTATTGTGGCTAGCGGTAATGTGCGTCATCTCAATCTTGGGTAGAGGCAGTCTGACAGTACAGAGGTAAACATCAAAATAATTCAGACGTTCATTATTGACCAATTTCATTAGCTATTTTCACCATGAACCGTAGTGGTATCTTGTGAACTGGACGTCAATCCCTTCTCCCCTATCATTTTTGTCCAGTTCGCCAAAGACTGTTTTGCCGCATCGGCTCCATAAAACCATGGGCAAGGACGTGTTTATGTTCTGTTGGTTTGATGTCGTGATAGCAATTATTTTTATGTCATATGGCGGGGTTTCCTTTTACGAGGACAAATGGCTTCTGTGATTTTCTTCTCTCGAAGACGTTAAGTCACCCCCAACTACCGACACAAATCAAGCAAAAAAGATTGGTTGTACGTCCAATTATTGATTTTCATCTTTATTCGCCCAAGTATGGCATCGTGCGTACAATGATCCGGGAACCTTTATTAGGTGTTTTCCGATTAAACTTATTCACTACAACGTAGCCTCTAAGAGGCGTTCTTGAACGTGCGGTTTACGTGATGCAAGCTGAGAGACATCGTGCACTGGCGACACAGTGTTAGATAGATGATGCTCCAATTGGTATAAGTGCGCAAAACAGCTGTGTTTTGAGAGTGGTGACTTCGACACTTCAAAATTGGTGATTCACTTACCTCTTCACCAATTAGTTATGGCGCGTGTGCCTCTTGTTTGAAGGCCAAGCCTGTCTCTCCTTCTGGAGGACAACTTTATTTCTGCACCATTTCTATTTCAGTCACATTTGTGTGTACAGGAACATCCAGTTGTCGTTTGCTTAGTTTGTTTGGTAATTCGATAACGGGGACAAAAGAAGATGACGGCAAATGTTCTCCAACTATTTAGGTCAGTAGTGCTCGATCAAGTGAGGAATCATGGGGAATTTTAGGTACACGTGATTTTGCACATGCTTTTCTGATATATGGTATCAGGATTCCGCTTCCTGGCAGATCACTTTGTTAGATACAGTCGCCCAACAATAGAGCTTGGGACCTGACCAGAATCTCGCCTTTAAAAGTGAATTTCACCGGGTGACAAAATTCACCTCAGTGGAAGACATTCAATGGATACCACAGGTTACAACATACTGTGTCAAGGTATTTTCAACGCGATTTATTTACTATAAGGGATGAAAAAAAACAGGCCACTTTCCGCATTTTACTTAATTCTCTTTATACGGACTGGCTATTGTTTATCCACAGTTTTCATTGTGGATTTATTCAAGATCCAGATACTGGGCTGCTCAATCAGGCTCACTCTACTACAACCTTGTCACTGGATATCCCCTTCACAACAGATTAAAAGACCCTGCCGGACTCAAATTCTTTTGAGTTTCATGGATGATTTAGTATTAGGGTGTCTATCTGTTCATTCAACGTAGGTAAGCAGCCAAGTAGCCCTGATACGTTTTCCAACTCCTTTGCATTGATCGCTATCACTGGTAGTCATTAATTATCAGAACTTCTCGTAACGGAAAACCTGACGAGTCATTCATACGGTAGACGCGTATTCTAAAGGAAGAAAGGTGAAAAACAGAATAGTTTACTACATTATATGGAACGAAAAAATAATTATCGTTCATGGCTGAGATTGATGCACTTCTTTGAACCCGAATCTGCTGGACCGTCACGGACTGTGGCCACTGACACAAATGGGCATTAGAAAGCCAAACGAATGGATGGGATGCCACTGTGATGCATCAGTCATCTTGTTCTGATTGATTTCAACAGTCGATCCCGTGTTAAAAAAACTGATGTACCTGCTAAGCATGGACGTAACAAGTGACGTTAGGTGACAAAGTGATAAATCATAATCTATTGTTAAGTTAGCTTGGATTTTGTCACTATTAACTACTAGTGAATTGGATAATTAATCTCGGGACTTGTCACCCTTCCATTGTTGTCTAACAGAGACTAACAAACCATGGATGAATCCTTATACCATGAAGCCTCAGGTAATCCGCAATTAGTTACACACCCGTGGCACGATTCATAAAAACCCATTCTAGAAACGCAACTTCAGTAATTCACATCTTAATGAGTTAAACGCCTATAGAGGGATAGTTGGCATAGAGAGGCACTTATCAAATGTTAGATTCATTAAATTTTGTCATACGCGCAGCTGAAAAAAAGACGAAAGATGACATTGCAAATCTACCCATGGACATTCGTTTTAAGCTGCAGGTTGATTACGGTCCGAGAAAAATGCGGGATTGTTTACATGAAAACCACTTCTAAGGGAGTAAAAAGGTCAGAAATTGACGGAGCTAATTGTGCTACGTTGTTCATGTCAGTTGTCTACACTTTTCTTTCATGGAGTGGGCATCTGGCGGCTGCTGAATTCTAGTTTTCGCGCGGCGGTGACCTTAAGCCCCAGCATAATTGCACTGTTGGTAGTATTTAGAAAATTTTGAGTCGTAACAAACTGAGGTCTGTAATAAAAACAGATTTACTGCATTTCTCCGAACAGGCCTGATCAAGCCATAAGCTCCGCATCGAATACAAAGGTGAGTGCATATCTTAGTGAATCTTTGTCTCGTGGAATTCAAGCGCTTTATGATCAGAGGGTTTAAAAAAATCCTACCTAGTGTCAACCTAAAAATGGTCTTACTTGCATGAGACAACACCACAGAAGGTAAGACGCTTGTGAAAGGACCTGATATTGCATATGCAGAATGTGACGTCAGTTCGGACAACCATGATTGTTAAGTCGCTCAAGTGCACCTTGACCGCACAAGCCATATTGATATATGTCCACATCCGATGCAAGAACACGGTAGAACGTATAACTGCCGTGTGATATTTAGGAAACACATGCATGGAAAGTGGCGAGTCACAGACATACCTTTTGATAGAATTCCTGATACGATTTTAGCCACTTCCGCTTAAATATCATACGCCATGTTCATCTTGTTTTTGTGGCCTGCCTCCGTAGAGTGTGTGGAAACCACGTATTTGACCGTCTGGTTTGCACAAATGTTTGAGTAAGCTAAATGCTACGCGAAACAAACTCTGCAAGTCAAAAGTCGATCACCTGAACCTGTTGTGCTGTGTTTGTCTGGTAAGCCAGGATCAGTGGGCCTGTTTCCATCGGCTTCTACACACTACTGACCATTCAGCGTTTATTTGTTTTTCTAAAAAATTGCCTAAGTGCATTCAAACACCATCGGAGTGGGCAAGAGCGTGTGACAGACAACGAATGCATGAACACCGCATCTGCTAAACAAAGCAGCCAATCATCATCAAGAATTGGTTCTCGTGCGTTGAATAAATGCTCGTCATTCATCAACTTTGGTTCGATTGTCTTTGTGCTCGATCTCACCAACATTACAATGAAAACTTCATTACCCCAATGCACCAACGTCACAAGTTCTTCGCGGGACCATAATATTATTCGTCATGTGATTGCATTTTAATCCGTCATCTCCTAGTCCGGTTAGACAAACTTATGCTATCGAGGGAAATGTGATCATTTTTGTAGGATAAATCGATATGAACCAAACAGAGCAGGTGGTGTCTCTGCGTGAAAACGTTCTCACTGGTTTAACGCTTTCTGTGATCGTCACTGGGACGGTAATCGGCAACCTTCTTGTTGTTTTAGCCGTTGCCTTGGTCCGGAAATTGCAAACTCCAAGCAACTTTCTGATTGTTTCGTTGGCTGTGAGTGATTTATTGGTAGGCCTGATTGTGATGCCTATCACGATCATTCATGACATTAACCGACAGTGGCCGTTTAACGAAGCTCTATGTGATACGTACATCGCGTTTGACGTGCTTCTGTGTACAGCCTCTATTCTTAATCTTTGTGCCATTTCGGTGGACCGATACCTGGCCATTACCAAGCCACTCCGATATGCTGCAAAACGCACACCGAAGAGGATGTTTCTGATGATTGCTGGTGTCTGGTTGGCTTCGGCGTTAATTAGCATCCCACCGATTTTCGGATTCAAAGAAAAGTGGATACCTTACACTTGTGGATACAGTGAGAACGTGTATTATCAAATCTACGCAACAGGCGGTGCATTTTATATTCCGCTTATTGTGATGCTTGTATTGTATGGACGTATTTTTATCCTCGCAAGACGAATGGCTAAAGAGGATGCCAAACAGCAGCGAATCAGTGAGTCGGTCGCTGGATCAAAACCAAACCAGGAGATAGATAATTGTCATTGTGACCAGCAAATTTCAGTGGACCAACACAATCCTTTGGTGAGTAAGCATCCAGCCTCAGCTGCCCACGACTACGAAGGAAATGTTGGTAGTGCGTTAGTGCACGCATCCTCGGCACTAAATGGAGTGACACGGAAGCAAGCACCAAAGAATTCAAAGCGTAATTCGCCTAATGATGAACGCTACCCCCTTCCACCTTCTGAAGCCTGTAGACGAAGACAACCGCGCCTCTTACGTAAAGAATCATATCATCAGTCATCCCTCGTCATCCCAAATGAAACGAAATGCTTACCTTCAGAAGAAAAGTCTTTCGCAAGCGAGTTTGAGGAGCGTGTTCGAATGCTCCGACAACTTAGGACAGAGTTCTTTGCAGCACCACCATCCAGACACTGCAGTTCGTTGGTTCTTGGTATACGAAGGACCGACGGGGATAAGACGGAAATAACTCGTCTGAATGTCGCAGACAATAGCGTAAACACCTACACAACTCCGCAGATACATCATCGAAGTTCATTTAATCCACCCTTGCATCAAAGCCAGTCAATGAGAGAACCCAGCTATACGCACAATGAAATAACATGTAAAACATCAATCAATTTACCACGGCGTTCAATGCCTCCACCCCCACTCTTATCCATATCTTGTTGTCCTGATGAATCCAATTTACCTCCCAGTCAATCACCAGGATCAGATGCATTTACTACGTTCACAGTTTTGGAACCCGATAGGGAACGCGTAAGTCGTACACCATCGCTTACCACTGCTCAGATGAGTTATTTCCCCACGCACACATTACGCCCCCGACCACGACCGCTCTACGGTGTGCGAAGATCTCTGGCTAATGCAGCTGACTACCCATCAAGAGATTCTCAATCTAGGTGTGGTTCACTTGGTATACCGAGAAACTTAACTGATAGGCGACTGAGCTCCCCTCAAACCACTGGACACCCATTATGGGGAATTCGTCGTCCCGACTCCAACCACTCGTTCATCGGTCGTTCGGCCAGTCGACTTTTCCATCTAGCGTCTGATAACCCGTCTGGAAATCCACGAAGTCGCAGCGGAAGTTGGTGTAGTGGACGCGCTAATTTACGAAAGAAGAAGTTTCGCGGGCACAGTGAGACCAAAGCTATCCGAACACTGGGTGTAATCATGGGATGTTTCTGTTTGTGTTGGCTACCATTCTTCATAATTGCGGTAGGTCATTTAGTAGAAGTGACGATTTATTTACTATCACCATATTGGAACTTTTTTATAAACACCGAAAACTTGCTTTGTGGATCCGCCAAGGCAAAATGTTCAACAAGGCGTGTTCTTTTTCTAGTGTCAATCATTCTATTGTTAGGCAAGATCAAAGTAAACATGAGAGATAATTTCAAATGGGAAATGGATGCACTTATTAAAACGATCTTATAGAAACATTTTTCGCTCCAAACCTTTCGAAAGAAAGTGGATGTACGAAACTAAAAGCACATCACATCCTTACTTACAAGTACAGCACGCGGGATCTGAATTTATTCCCAGCGTTCTACCGTTCTAAATGTTTCTTTTATGGGTTGCAACAACGCTCTACCAAGAGTATTTTCACCTCTCCCGCCTGCTAGTCCACTGTCGTATTTAGTAAAATACAAGATGTGGTGTTTTTGAACTTAGTTTCTCATATGTCTCGACAAAGCTTCTTGATTCCACTGTCACTGTTCATAATCTTCTGGCATCAGTTTTAATGACAAACATGCATCCTTCACCTCGGTGTTTTCGAAACAATGCTAGTTAACGTGACAACGTCTCGACCTACTGTATTAAGTCCTAAGCTGATTTGATATCATTTACACAGTGCTTTGGTATAAAACAATTTTTTAGAATGTCGGTTATAACCCGCCACTGCGTTTAGGGCAATAATCGGCCTCTGCTCTGAATTCTCTGAATGATGATTTTTTTTCAAAAAACAGTGGAAGCGTTAATGAGAGAACTTTGATGAAACTTCAATGGGAGAGTCGCAATACTTGAATCTTCAGTGACGCGATAAATGTGATTAGCAGAATAAGACGCATATTTAAATCTCTCACTAATGAGGCATCATGGATAGTCTGTAAACCAAGTTTGGAAACTTTGTTTGCATTATTGCTCTTGCAAATAATCAGCTCACTGTTTGCTCTGGAGGTCAGCAACATCCATCCAACTCCAGGATTCGTCTTCAGCCTCCTTTTTAAATCCACCGACCGACTCGAAATACCAAATGCGTGCATCATAGTGAACTTTCGTTGGCGCCACGTTGTTAAGGAAAGCATAAAAACATCAATCCACCAGCCCGTTAAGCGTGGTTTAGAGCCGCATGTTTGCGAATACTGACAGAGGAATCAAATGAGCACAACATCATGCCATCGGTTGTGATATCGAATTTTTGGTTCAACAACCGATGATCATCTCTTATCGAGGGATCTGCTTTCCTCAATCCGCTAGGGCTGGTATTGGACTGGGACTTCCTTAGGTCGCAGTCAGTGACTTGTGTTTGCTTGCCATTGTCGGCTCCCTGCGTACTTATGACACTTTTATGCGTGACACATAGCGTTGAAGGTACATTTTTGCCATTTAATCTCACACCAGACCCAGTACGACGGACATTTTGTTGCCTGATGTGCGAGTTTTTACTGTGGTAGCGCACGCTGCGCCTTGAAGAGCATTCACCATTGTTTGTCCCTTCTTTGGTTGTTGGTTTTTAGGCGCCTCACCTCATCAGACTGGCACTGTCTTTGGCATGATTTCGAATAAGACGTTTCTCTCTTTTCTCCCATATTATCCCGTTACTCTTTCGCATTTATCGCTTGCATTCATTTTTTGATGTTTGTGACCATGCTCTTCAAAAATAAATGATAGTATGTAATTATCAGTATAGACCGTTGTGGCTTTCAAGAAGCCGATTTAGATTTTTAGAAATTTAAAGCGATTTCTGGTTAGATTCCTTTCTTCAGGATAAAACTTTCTGATAGCCGTTTAAGAGCTGTGGAATATTTTTACTGACGTGAGAACCTTTTGTTTCCAGAATTCCGTAGTAGGTTGTTTCAGCTGTCAAGCACAGCAGAGTGGAAATGAAACAGACGCTATGAACCACTCGTGACTAGTGGCAGAACTTCTGTCCGGGTTTGAGCGTACGTTTGGTCTCCGCTCCAGGACCATCCGTTTTCTAAGCTTGGTGAAACCGTGGCGTAATACTTGTCGCTTCCAAATGATACGGTCCGTTTTTATTGATTTGAAAGGCTTGATTTTCTGCAGTTACGTAATTTAATTTGCTTAGATGTCGGACAAAAAGCATGAAGTGAAAAAGAAATAGTCGCAATGACATGGTCATAGGATTTCATCTGGGTTTCAGAAGAACGTCCTTTCTCATTCCAAGAATACTATCCTAATTTCATGGATTTGTTTAACGCATTACTGACAAACATCACTATGGTTACACAACATTTACATAGTGTGCTATTTGGTAATCTTAACCTAAATGACTGTATTGCCGTTTGAGATGTTTCAAACGTCAAAATAATCGATGGAGAAGACAGTAGATCTTTTACATAAGAGAGAAATAAAAGACGAGGGTGGAATGAAGAGATAAAAAATGTACGGAATGAATGTTATTCTCAGCTTTTATAAGCCATGGAAAGTAGTAAGTATTTTGTGCTAGTTCTGAGGATCACTACTTATCGCTCAACGTATTTTTCAGAATAAATCAGTCGTTTCCGTATAAAAAATACTGGACTGTATTGGAAAGATTACGCACGGTAACCTCTTGAATGAACTACGTTAAACCAAGGAAGGAGCAAAAAACCTGTTATATCATCCTCGTAGTTTACCCTTTTCTATCTGTCTTGTCAAGTTAACCATGTTTAATGCTCATGTTCGAATAACAACACAGGCGTTAAATATAAATTATCAATAAACCTAGAAAATTAAGTCAATAAAGTGGGATTAGCTGGACCGTTTACTTTGTGCGGAAGACGCAGCATATACGGTGGAAGAACAAAATAACCTTTAGCAATGATACTGAAGATAAGATATTTGTTTTTACGAAGTCCACAGTAAATATTTTCACTGAAAACAGCACTTTAGGTAAGTCTTTAATCCGTTACATCCCACAGGGGTGTTGTATTTCTCTGCACAGGGAATAACGAATCTTCTTTGAGCCCAACTACGTTCTGCCGAACGCAGCACTTTCTATTCTTTGTCGTTCTACCAAAGTGGCGCGCGTGAATTCTGTACATGTTGCGTGGCTTATAACTTCCAGCACAGAAACAGAACACGACTGACTGACAGGTAACTGTCTGTAAACTGGACTGAGCGGGCATCCGTATGACAAAAAACAAGACCAACAACAGTTTTACAGCTCCATATCTCTGGCTGATCAGTGTGAATCTCCTAACGAAACTAAACGCTACTGGTAACGTGAGCGACCGAACTCATTGTGCCTGCGCAGCTTCTCAGTAATATTCGGTTTGGTTTAGGGGGTGGTGAACACGGTTGCCTGGCAATTCTGTGTGTGCTGAACTGCCCACGGTGATGCTATATTCTTACTTAGTATAGCTTATACTGGGAAGAAATCTTACACCTGTTCTATATCCATGGTAATACATCTATGGAAGATGATACCATGCCTTTTCCTGCCATTGCCTTACGCCATAACGTTTCGATACTCTGCCTTAAAATGCTCCTTAGTTAGAAACCATTGTGTCACCGTTTATTTCTGTATCATATAATTCCAAGGAAACTGTAAGCAGGCGTTCCAGTGAGCGTTTCACAGATTCTTATTTACTCAGCCTTTAGTCTGCTGACTGCATGTAGACAGAGGGTCATCATGTTGAGTGGCTGCAAAATTATGCAAATAGGGTGTCGCAAGCTATCAACTAGATCATCTAGGATTTAAGTAAAGACAAAATTAATAGAAGCTGTTTCCAGTGTACGCTCAGGCTTAAATGAGCTGTTCTACGAGAATATGTAGAGGATCCCATTTTTGAAGATTTGTGGATCTTCATATGTTAAACGTCATCTCCGTAAAGTGTTCGTTTTATCCAACTAGTGCCTGTACGAATGTCGTCCGCAAACTCTAAACAGAGGAAAGGAGAACATAAAGTTGACGGAAACTCTGCGCCTACCTGATGAGCCCCAAGAAGGGCGAAACTGGTCGGGGTTGAAGAGTTTTCAGCAAACTTGTGAGTAGTTTTCTTTACGAAGGAGAATCTCATTTCACTCTATAAACGACCCAAAGTAGCCAAAATATGGCGGAGCTTTCGCAGATGGGTCAAATACATTGAGTTCAACTCCTTTGACCGAAGGAAAAATTGCAGCACATCAGCTAAATATGCTCTGTTTCAGCTCTACGAACAAATGAATGTCTTAACTACCATGTTGCCGGTGAGTACATGTTGGAAGCCGGTGGCATAGCTTCATTGTTGTATTCGTCCTTGCGCCTCCATTTGTCCCCAGTGTGTAGCAGGTTTCAGATTACCTACCCAATTATGAGATGTCTTTTCGGAGCATTGCTGCGGTCTTAGTTCTTTGCCCAAGTCAGCATTGTGCTATGGACCTAGATGTTCAACAGATTCCGCATGTTACCACATCACGGGTTTTAAAATTTGGACCACATGGGTGTCAGGTAGGTGCTGTTCTAGGGTAGCTCCATAGTATACGGACGTCGGCACAGAGATGATATTGCGAAAGAGCACATGATTCTACCCTCCAGTCGACCAATACAGTCGGAAAGTCGTCACACCGGTTACGTAGAGTATTTTTTGCAGGTGAGGTTTATTGAGTGTGTATCATCGTTTGTATACTAAATGTCAATGCAACCTTCCAAGAGGATGCTCCTAAAGAGCGTGTATCTCCAGAAGTAATGATATTACCCCTACGTTTTCCAAATTACGAGAGCCAGACCTTCGTCCACGAATAGAGTGCCCTGAACGCGTGTTCCGAAAAATTGCACTCCGTGCATCAATCATCACCGGTTTGGCCATTCATGTGAAGGGACAAAAATTGACGTCTATTGGGATATGGTCGATATGGACACCAGTAAGGCTATTAGTGACATAAACGTTTGCTAAAAGCTGTAGTGGCGCTCCTGTAGTCTAACGGTTGATATTATAGGGCGATCCTACATCAGGAACAATGCGTCATTGTGGGAGCCAAATCGGTTGATTTGTTGATCCGTAGCATTT